ACAAGCAGATCATCAGTCAGCCATCAGATACCACCAGTGTGTTTCTGTCCATGTCCTGATGAGCTTGGAAGTAGTTCAGAGGATTTTGGTGATTATTCATTTTTACGAAAATAAACATGTATTTACAAGTAATTATTAACCTAAAATACATGATCTTTTAAACTTCCTGGTATAGAAATTCCCTGTCTGATGTAAGAGGGCTGAGCATCTTTTGCCTTAAAGTTATCACTTTAAGGAATACAGCTTACTGGAGTTTTCCATACTTGAGGGTGCGAGTGCTGTTTAGATGGTTGCTGTGTGTAAGGAAGAAATCGCAGCTATCTGATGCTGGAAGTCCTAAGTCATTGTCTCCTATTGAAATGTGTTGCACAGGGTATTCTGCCAGCCAAGAAACTCCTGAAGCCAAGAGGACGAGGACACAGCCTTACTTCAAGCAGCGGAAGAGGGTGCAGTTCCTAGAAGTGTCTTCAGACAGCGACGAGGAACCGCCGAGGAGCTTCAGCGCCGCGAAAGAGAACAGGGCTCCGAGGAGAGCTGCCGTCCTAATGTATGCTCTAACCCAGTTTTCTGTCATGTTTCTGCAACCTGGTGTGATGTTCTAAATCAAAATCCTGAACTGAAAGTCAGAGGCTAGGTTCTGGTTTACTGGTCTGTGATTTATCTACCCCTAACTAAACTTTACTGGATTTTCAGGGAAGAAGAATCCCAACTTTAAAGCCATTTTCTTAGAGAGGACACGAAGGAAGAATTTTGTGATGTTGAATGATAGGTGTGATGTTCATTATACATTTGTGCATTTGCCTGTCTGAAATCCTTTTAATAACACTTGAAAATTTAACTGTAAAACATTTACTTCATTGCTTTTTAACTGTATTAGGGTTGATTTTAGCATGTTTCATTTTTTTTATGAAACCATAGTGGACAGGGAAGCAAGTAGAGCTTTGGTGTGTAGTGTAAGAGTTCCTGAGCTAAAGTTAAGTGTTAGTTGCATGATGTGTTTGCTGTGCTTAGTGGAGTTTTTTTTTTTTTAGTGATTTTGAAATTTATATTTTTGAATAAGCTGAGAGAGAAGACAGTAGTATGCAAGCATAACTTGTGCGGGTGCTAAAAAGGTGGCACTAGCAATGCAGGAGAGGCAAGATGTAAACAGACATCTCATGCAACCAGTTGGAGTGGTTTAAAGAACCCCTTGCTGTTTGTTACCTGCTAGTTACATGTCTGTGACCAAAAAGTGGTAATTGTGCTGCTTAAGTGTTGGTAAACAAAACAAGGTGGCTTAACCTGCTTTTTTGATAGTCTAGCTGAACTATTCTGCAGAAAACTTATACCAATAGCAACCTTAACGGGTGTAATCTCTTCTAAGTCCCAGTGCAGAGCATGGAGATACTGGAGCTTGTCAGCAGAAATGAAATAATGCTTTTGCCTGCTGCTGTTATCTGAAAGATCTGATTTTTTTTTTTTTTAATGCATCTTCCCTGAAGTTTCAATCTGAGGCAGATATTTGGTAAGAAGAAGAAGAAAAAAAATTAGCAGTTAGCAGAGTGAACTCTTGTTTCTGTCTGTGGTTTAAACTGTAGATTGTGTGAGGATACAGAGATGTCAGACTGAAGAAAAAAAATTAGCAGTTAGCAGAGTGAACTCTTGTTTCTGTCTGTGGTTTAAACTGTAGATTGAGGATACAGAGATGTCAAACTGGTTGCATGCACCAAAGTGGCTTGTGTGCAGTGCTGTGTAAGTCTGGTTACACTACTTCTGGGATCAGCCCTTTCTGGAAGCAGTACAGGCAGTTTTGTACTCTGTGGAGCCAAAGCTAATAAACCATGCCAGATCCAACTCGCAGAGCCACAGCTTGCTATTTCTAGACCGCATTCCAACTACTGGGAGTGAGAGACAGCAAAGTGGCTCCTAGTGGGAATGATGAACATAAGCTACATTCTTCTGTACTCTTCATTATTCCTGTGTAGCTCTGGGTCTCTTACGCCCTGGGCACCCCAGTGCCCGAGACTGGCACGGTGTGCTGGCTCAGGTGCTGATCCATGTGTACTGAACCCACTGAGCTGTCTCACGAGTGGCACTCTGGTTGAGCTAATTGAATGAGAGTGTGGTAGGAGTTAGCTTGGATCTGGCCAGGCTTATGAGTTTGGGCTAGTGCTGAATTTAGCCTGGCTTTGCACAGAATCAGTTGAGTGTCTTTGCACTGTGTGTTTTAGTGCATGTGTTATCTAGTGTTGGGGAATTTTGTGGATTTTTTCCTTTCTGCAGGGTATCCCAGACCCACTAATCCTGAATAAGGGACAGAGCAGAAAGCAGAAAGTTCAGAGAAGAAAGCATGTCTGTCCTAAAAGGGAGCACGCCACAAACTTCACTACCAGAGTCACAGTCTGGACTCTGCTGGAATAAAGCAGAACACTTACACAAGATTTTGTGGGTCAGAATCATACCCGTTCAGTGGTTAAAGGATTGTTTCTGCATGCTTGATAAGAACGTGATTATACAGAGAGGACAAGATTTATGATGTGTGCAACTCTGGCTTTGCTGACAAGTATCTAGATCTTAATTCCTGATAGGAAGGGTAGTGTAGTTGCAGTGTTATCATTTCCATTTGGATTGATTCTCTTTTTTTAAATGCAGTTTATAGAGAAACTTTATTTCTTATTAAGGCAAAAAGATCTGAAATACGCTAACAGAATTTTAATATGCCATTTCACTAAAACTTTTTAAAAATTAGATACTGGATTTACCTTCTGAAGCTTACAACTGTATGACTTGGTGGATTGAAGAGGAATTTGGGTTTTTTGTTTTGAGGATTTTTTTTTTTCACTCTGAGTCACAACCAGAGAGTCCACATGGCCTTCGGAACAGGATAGGGAGAAAAGGACTACTTGATGAACAGTTGTCTCAAAATATGTTTACTCTTATGTAAGTGGCATATTACTACTTTTTTCCAGTATTGTATTGCAATCTACCTTTTTCTACTGCTGAAGAAAGATATAGTGAGCAAAACCAGGTTTATTTGTCATCTTTTACCCATGTCTCTATAGAGACCTGCAGGCAAGCATTTCTGATTGGTGAAGTCCCTATGAAATGACAAACTCCATGCAGTCAATTAACTTTCATTCAGGAAAGGAGATTTTTGTGTCTGTGGAGGGCAGTAGAATGGGAGACCTGTGCTTAGGTTCAGTCTTGTCTGTGCAACTGAGTATTGTGAAAAACAAAGGGATTGCTTTTCCTGCCCGTTTGGTTTCATAATAAGTCTTCTAGTAAATTCAAGACTTTTCTTTTTTCAGAAGGGGTCTTCCCATGTTTTGATGTTTCAGATGCTGCATAAGCATCTTTGAATTTTCTTTCTCAGTGAACTGAGAACTAGGACAGTAAGTTGATACCGAACAGTTGCTGAAGAGAATGTAACCTGTATCTGTTTATACGTTGGACAAATAAATACTGGCAAGACTGTTTGAGACAAACTTGTGATGGTCTGATATAATTCAAGTGGCTGAAATGATAAAATGTATTGATAGTTGTTGCTAAATTGATGAGTAGCCTAGCACAATATGAGGGTAAGTCATGGTGTTTCCCTTTGCCTGTTCCTCCTTTCTTCTTTCCCTTGCTAAGTTGAAGTGTGTTTACTGCAGAGGACTGTGCTTAAACATATGTGATTCATTTTGCCCTGAAGAGGAGGTATCACTTCAGGTTGATTCAGTGTTACTGATTGCATCTAAGTAGACTTTGTGCCATCCTCTTGGTTTTGGTTTACAGTAATGTTCTCGTAGATTAAAACAGTCAAAATAAAAAATAAAATTTTAATTATTTCTCTCCTAACCCATATATCATAGCTCTGACCAGTCTGAGGATGATGAACAGCCTGAACTACCCCAGCTGGCATATGGAAATGGTGGGGATCAGGTGCCAGCTGTGAAGAAGAGTGTAGAGGAGGACATGAAAGATGGAAAGATGCAAACATTGAAGGAACTTTCTCCCCAAAGAAGTGACCAAGATTTACTAGAAGTAATAATGCTCTGTTCTTTTGATTTATTTTGTTGACTATTTTGTAAGCAGTATTCCTAAACCTCTGGCTTTATTAAAGAGAATAGTGTTAATTCTTACTAGCAAAAGAGTACAGCAAAGTAATGTATTTTAGGGGAACTACAGCCAGGTAACGTTTCCATATACAGATGCATACATAGAGATGCTTACCTGTATACAAAAATGAATATATATACACACATACTTTATAAATATTTTTTTAATTTAAAAAAAACTATAGATCAGCTCATCAACAGTGAATTCCAGTGTATAGAAAATTTTTGTCTTTGATTCTCTTGGGATGTTTAGTCTTAGTCATAACTGTCTTGATTGATAACTATTGATAACCACTCTTGGTGGAGTGCTGCTAACTGGTTAAATGCAGAATGAGTGAAATTATTGCTGTCTTCTCCAGTAGGTGAAACGTTGCATCCTTGCATTTATGGAATTTAATATTTAAAGAATTCAGTACTTCCAGTGAGGCAAAAAGAGAGGAGGTTTGGACTTAATATAATTTATTCTGATTATGCTGACATCTGAACCAGAGATACTCTTGGCCATTGTCCAATGTACAGTACAATCTACAGTAATACTATAGTAACTTAATACAGAAAAGTATCTTCAGTTCAGTAAAATATATTTTTACCAACATTGCTTTTCAGTGCTGATATATAACGAGGTTTTCACTAGCTTTAGTTTTCAATGTTAAATGTGTTTAATTTAATCTATTAAGTTTCCTTGTTGGTGAAATGTTGTTAAAGAAATATAGATATTTTACTGGTGCTTCTTGCTGGTTGGTTGTGTTTGGTTTTTTTTTTGTTTTTTTGTTTTTTTTTTTTCCCCCTAGTGCATCAAGCTTTGGTTAGACATTTTATTAAGGAAGGAGAGGTTGCAAACAGCAGGTGTGGGATTTCTCCTGGATGTTGTAATAAAATTTACATTGTAGCTGTCCAGAATGTCTGAAGCTTCAATTTTTGGCCACACAGAATGTGTTTAAAACAAAGAGTGATAACAGTTTATCTTAGATTAGAAACTAGCTAGAATTGACAGGTAGTCTGTCTGACTTCTGTTTTGTGACTTCACTGCTGTCTTAATCCCTCAGTGGTATGTAGTGCTGATGGTATTTGTTGTCAGAAGAGTGTAAGATAAGATAGCTCCTGTATCAGCAAAACTTTGTAGTGGGTAAAGGCAGCACAAATTTTTGTTTGCAGTTGCATATCCACAACTTCTTGAAGGAAGACAGAGAAATATTATGCAATCTATTGTTCACTCATGAAGGATCTGCAATAGTCTGTCCTGACAAACTTTATGCAACTGATGAAGGCTATTAAGGAAAAATCATGAGCCTTTTTTAAAGGAGATAGTGTGTTTATAGCAAGATTGTAAGATGCTGTTTACAAATGTGGACAGCTGCTTGGGAAACAGGATTCCTCATAACTTCATATTTTGTGTTCGGGTTTTTTTCATATTTGTAACCTTTAGGCTATTTGCTTCTGTTGCAGTTTTCACTTGCAGAAACCATTCTAAGTCTCAACATTCAAATAATTTGTAAAAATCATGTATTTTGAGATTACACATAGATGGAGAAAGAATCTAGGACTGCAGGAAGTATAGATAAACTTTGAGACATGTGAAAAGTTTCATGCATCAGGGAATTGACCAGTATGACATAACAGCATACAACATTTTATGAGTTAAGAAATTAGTTTTTTGTATCATCTGGTTTTGTGATAGTAACATTGAATAGGTTTTGAAAAAAGCTTTTAAGTAAACCTGCATGGTATATTTATGAAGTAAAGGAAGTGATAATAAATGCCACTGTGTTAAAAATGTTTTTTCCAGTAGGTTTATTTAAGGTGTTTCCAAATACAGCTTATATAATCAGTCTAACTTGCACCTGTTGATTTTGTTCTTGAATTTTATAATACATACATTTTTGTTGTGCAGTCTTGAAAGTGTATTTTAGTCATGATGATCTATTGTTGTCCTCTGTTCAACTGGATTAAATCTCATCACTTAGCAGTTGACATTTTTATTTTTGCAGTTAATAGAATCAGCACACTCAGAGGATGAAACAGAACCTGCTGGTTTGAAGTCCAATGATGAAGGTATGTTTAACAAAAACTTTAGAAACTACATCTAATTCAGTGATGTAAACTTGGTTGGGAAGTGTTTAAAAAGTGGTAAAGCATACACTAGAATTTTTACTATTTTTTTTAAATTATAATAACACAAAAATGAAATTACAGGCTGTGCGAGAGGAAGGAGTACGCAGACCCAAACCCAACTATAGGAAAAAAAAAACCAATTTGTTCTGTGAAGCTCAGGATTGGTTTACATGTAGGTCCTTAAGTGATTTCTGTTCTTGGTGGCTCCTTCTTGGCCCAGAAACCGAGGCAAATAGTAATGGGCAAGCAGTAATAACTCTAGATGTTGTCGGTGAGAAATCCGTTGGTATGGAAAAGATATGGAATAAGTTGCCACTCACAACTGGCCACTGTTTGTGTTAAGGCCCATCACAATTTTCAGGTTGAAGACTTGCTTGTAACAGAGTAGGAATTTTTAGTCTTAAACATTAGACAAATCCCCACGGTTCTCTAGCAAAACATTGAGCCCACAGAGCTTATGTAGGTTGTTTTATTCTGCATCTGAATTTGTGCAGTTTCACCCTGTTATCCAAGCCAAGCAAACAAAAATCAAACTAAAAAACCCAACACGTGGTGTGGGATTATGTATAGAGTGGTAAGCATGTGAAGAAGTCACTATTCTTGGGCTTTGGGTTTGTTTCTTGACATCACCTAAGTCCAGGGTTAAATCTCCTTTCTTTACTAATCTTTCTGAGTGATCTGCTGGGGTTGTTAAGGGCACAGTGGAAGGTTGGCATGAATATCAGTGTCGTTAAAAAAAGCTGATCTGTTACAGTAGTCTCCACCTGTTTGCAGTTTAGTTGTCCATGGCTTTCCTGAGAGAGATCTTCATGGATGCAATGGAAAAAGCTATTTATGATTACTCTTGATTATTTTAGTTGTTCCAAGTGTCTTTTCAGTCAGTATGCTATGGATTTAGAAGTGATGTTTAGGAAGCTCATGTGCTGAGAGAGAGCAGTTTTACTCCCTTTTTAAAGTAGATTTTTTGCTTACTTTAATCTTCTGATTTTTATATACAACTTCAAAAATTTTAAACAATTATTGGAAAGCTTTAAAACATTGTGTCAATTTTAATGATGGGTTGGTTTTGTGTGTTTGTGGTTTTTTTTATTTGTTTGGATTTTTACCCAACCAGACCAACATTTGGAGGTTTGTACATACATTATCAGTTTCTATAGATAGGACTTAATGGATTGTGGCTATAGAAAACTGTAGCTTTCATATTTTTTGAGGGACACACTACTTCTGAGTGCTGCTGCTCCTGGAAAATCATGGTGCTTTTCAAGGGTTTTGATTAATATTAAACCAATTTAAGCTGATATATATCCTTAAACTTTGTTACAGTTCATAGTGTTTGAACTAAACCACTTTGATTACTGGTATGTAGGACCTGCCTTTTGGCCATTTTTGTGTAGCTCTAAGAATGCTGTTTCACATCCTTTCAATGGAAGCTCACAGAAAAATCTTGGCAGCAAAATTCTCACTAATCACAGCTGTTGTATAAAATAGGAATAAGCGTGCCTAAAAGTAGTGGTATAAATCACCTAATTTTGGACACATTTTTTAGAAATGGAGACATTACTGAACATCTGGTTATCCTCTTAATTTATGATATGCTTTGCTTGGAGTGTTGACTGTATGAGAGATGAGGAGCAAAGTACAGTTTTGAGAAGCATGGCTGTAGTAGGAAAAGTGTAGCCAAGCTGCCCTCAAATTTTTCTGTCCTTTCAAAATGACAAAATTTGTGTTTATAGCTTGAATTCAGTAGTTGCATATAGTTAAAACAAGAAGCATCGTAGGTGACTTGCAGGTCTGAAGATTAGATGTGACACTGAAAATACATGTGTGAATAAAAGATGTGAAGTTATAGTAATACCTGCTGCTTGTGGTTGGTTTCTGGTGGTGTTTTCTGTTAATCTTGAAAACCACGAAATCAGTGAGGGTACGTCTGAGCCGAAGCCTCTTGTAAATGTGTGTCAACTGCTTTTTGAATAGACAAAAATGATTGTTTCTTTTGTAATGGTGGGGCAAGTCACAGTAATGAGGTCTTTTGTAGAGGTAGCTGCAGATAACAGTGGAAGTAATCACAGAGGTCTCTTTAAATTTTGAAATCCTGGAGCTGCTTTTCTCATTGCTCGTTAATCATGTAATTTATAGAGAACAAGGATTCCTCTAGGAAGGCCTGGTGTGTATTGCTTCCACTCCAAGGATGGTTCCTATCTACAAGTCATGGAGTTTCTTCATCCCCTCAGCAGTATGTTCCCTTAGCACAGGAAGGAATAATTAAGTGTGCCTTGCAAAGTGAATGAATGTCTTCAGAAAGTTGCTTGGGGTTTTTTTTGTCACTTGCAGATGTAGTGGTCTGTAGAAGACAGCAGGTTGTTTTCTAAATTCTGTGGTGGTAGCTTCCTGAGACTATGGTTATTCAGAGACTTTGCTGTAGTTTAATTGCCTCTAAAATTGCTCATGATTGGGCTTTCTTCAGAGTGCTGAGTGCTCAGCCCATGACTTCAAAGGAGGGAGATCTTAGAAATACTCTTATTTGGAACCCATCTATTTTTTTAGGGCAAAGAGGTTTGTAGGGTCACTGTTCATATTCAGAGTTACTCATCCTGAATAAAGTTGTAATTGGGCTTGAGCAGAAATAGTATGAGGCCTCTGTGACTTCTAGTAGTTTACCCAACAGCAGCTTGATAGCCCCTGTGCATTTGTCTTGATATCAAAGCCATTTCTCACACGTAAGCATAGCATGGCCTTTCCAGGCAACCTTGTTGAAACAGTGTTCTTGGGCAGAAAAGTCAAGGTCTGACTGGTTGAAGGAGAGCCACCTCCTCTCCACTGTCACGTTCTCGAGATGCTTTGACCTGTGCCTCTTGTATATATTTACTTATATGTAGAAATACATGGACTTTCAGTGTTTTCTGGTATCTTTCCAGATCCTTCATTTAAGGAAGAATTGCTGATGCTTTACTGTTCTGCCTTTGGGGTGTTTTAGTGATTAATTTTTAGAAAATAATTTTTGTCACATGGCTGTTTGACAGGGTGGATGAGTCTAGTAGAAAATTTGAAAGTATTCCTCACAAAATGTCTTTCTGTACAAAGAAATGTGGCTACTTAATTTTCCACAACTGAAACTATTCTGATCATCTAGACAGTCTTTTTGTCTGGAAAGCAAGCATGCTTTTTGGTGTTTGTGCATGTTCATGGATCTCCTTTGGCAGTCTGAGAGGGGATTTTGGCCAGAAATGCTGGTGTAGAACATCAAAGCTCTGCAGGCAGTTACTCTTCCATAGAAGATTTAACTAGCAGTACTATTTCAGATTGTGGGCTAGGAATTTTCACAGTAATTTTGTCTGGTAGCAGTTGCTGCTTCGAGCAAAGCTGCTGTGCAGAGAGGGTGGTAATGTGTTCTTGCCTTCATGAGCTGTGCACAGCAGCAGTCAGAAAATGCACCCAACTGGGCAGGCCTTAATGCCAAGATGATAATCTCTTGATAATCACCAGGGCCCAAAGATCTTCAGAAAGTACTGGCTCATATGAACTATTCATAAGTAATATGGTTATCACTGATATTTATTTATCACCGACTTAATATGTATAGTTTTACTTTAAGCATTTGTATTTAATGTTGAAAACTGTTTGGTGGTAAGCCCTCCAGTGTGCATCTGAGCCAGAAATCAGTCATCAGCACTTCCAGATTGGCAGTGATGTACATTCTCCAAATCATGACTGGGATTCAGCCTTGATTAAATACCAACTTTCCAAAAGCAGTCAGCTTGAATGAAAACACAGACACACACTTGTATGCAAGTTGTGTATACAGCACTTGGCAATTAGAAAAAAATAAAATAAAATAAACTTGGAGGTAAATAACATGTATTTTCAAGCAGCTGCTTTGCTTGAAGTTTCAATGCATGTGTGAACTATAATAACTATGCAGACTAGAAAGCATCTTGTGCAGGTGGTAAGTAGACACTGTAATGTGGGTTTGATGCTATTGGTGTGGGGTGAAATTAATGAAAGTAATTAATTCTTCTTTCCTGTCTTGATTATTTTTAAAGCTGCCTCTCATAAAAGAAAAGCTGCTCCCACGAAATGCAAAAAAATAGAGCCAGTTGCAAAAAAGCCAAAAGCTAATGATGTAAGTACTGTTTTTTCTCTCTGAGCATTGTCAAATGAGTGGAATTACCGGATTTGGTCAATAACTGTGGTGTCATGAATTTGGTGTCTTTTATTAGAAAATGCAATCAAATTAAACTCTTGCCACCTGAATGAGATTTTTTTCCTATTTTCTCCTTGGCAATTCTGAATGGAATTGCCTGCTTTGTTCTTCAGTGTTTGTGAAATTGTATCCCAGTAGCCTGTTCACTGGTTTTGTAGACGTTGATGGTGGGTATGTGAGGCACTGGATAACATTCAGTTTTTGGGAACATCAGTGGGAGTTACAGGCCACAAATCACTTTGCCTCATCAGGTCATTCCTTGTGTTTCTTCAAATAAATGATCTTCAACATCCGTTGCTACTGTTTTTTGTGTTATAGAAGTCATGTTGTTTACATATCTATTTAAAACTATGACTTCGAAAGATGTTTAAAATGAATGAATTTGTTACAGTTAAAGGACGGTTACTTTTGACCTCTGCTAATAATGATCCTGGTGCATTCAGGTTGGTATTTGGCAGGTCTTTTGCAGTTCTACAGTGCTGTCATGAAACTAGCTCCCAGGCATCTCAGTAGACATCCTTGAAAATCACTTCTGGTAGAGAAAGTTATTCTACAGTGAATACTGGAGGAAGGTGACTCTTTGTGTTGAAATTTAACCACATATTGTCCTTGTTCAGAACAAAATAAAAAAAAAGAAAACAGTTGAGAGTTTTCCATGAAAACACAAATAATACTACTCATATTTCCCTGGTTCCTGGCAGAGAGATGTAAATTTTTGTGAGGCAGTAATTGGTGGGGTTTGGGTTTGTTCCTTGTCACCAAACACCTGGGTTAGGTTATGAAGGAGACTTTACTGATTTATTACCCAGGCAGCCCAGCAGCCAGTGCTTCACTGGACCTGGTTTCGTGTAGCAGTTTGATTTCTGTGTTTAACAGTTCTGTCGTGGTGAATAGCAGAAGGATTGGGAAAAATAAAGCTGAAACACTGTTTTTTTTAGAATTTGTAGTAGAGAATCATAGTGAGATAACTTGTGGGGTTTTTTTCTTGCTCTTGCTTCTCCTCTGGTTCCAAAGATGGTTCCTGAGAATAAAGTGTGCTCTCCCAGCTGATGTATGTGCTGTAGCTGTACTCTTTAACAATACCATGGGCTCACTGAGGAAAGGAACTGTCCTCTGTTACTCGGAGTGCTTCTTGGTGATATGGTTTGTGTCCTTCCAATAAATATCAATATTTACTCTGCTGAATGATGCTCAAACCTGTGGGCGTCTCTGCTGTAGATAAGTAGATCTGTAACCACTTTGGATTCAAAGGTCTGAAGAAGAAACTTGTGTAATTCTTTGTGGAGAACACGTAACAGCAACTTGTGGCATGTAGTTTTGGCACTGATTCATAATAAAAATCCCTTTTTGCAGGCTGATAGTAGCTGTTGGTGAAGCTATTGCTGATCAAAGCTTTTGCCAGCTTTTGATGTGACTCTGTGGTGCTGTGACACTTCTTTTATACCTGTAAATCTTCATATAAACACACCACCTGACATGCTTGGTTAAATTCTGCACACATGGTAATCTAACCTGACTGAATGTTAACCCTGCCATCTTCTGCCTTAAATATCCAGAATCATTACTAGCTTTTTATGTTAAAATATAGAAACTAGATAATTCTGAATTGTTTGTATTTTAGTATGTGACTTTGCACTGTGTATGTCTACCAAGTAAGAATGCCAGTCTTTCAGGACTGAAGACATTCTCTAAGCTTATGAAAATTTTTGGTTTGTTTAATTATTGGCTATATTTAAGGAATTACTTCTGCACTTTGCCTTAAGTGCTTTTGTCATTTAGAGGGGCTCTTTAAGAGTAAGCAATATTGATTTAGTTTGATTGATTGGATTTGTTTGTTGTTTTTTTGTCTTCCCTGTTTCTATCCTTTTGATTTATATTAAACCTAATAGGTTTCTGTTTTTTTAATGTAGCTTGGTGAGTCCAAACCCCAAAGACAATGGGAGAGGCAAGAAGTTTCACGAGAGAAGCTTGTGAAGAGGCTGAAATATGTGTTCCCTAAATTGGCTAAGGAGGTGAGCTCGTGTCTCCTGATGGCACGTCAGGTTCTGACTTCTTAAGAAATTTGTAGCTGTTGGTAGTCCAAACAAAACAGTTCTTTGATGAGCAGCACTTTTGGAAAGAGCCCAGGGTAGGAGAAGTGTTCTCACTGCTACTGCTTTTGAAATGTAACTTGACCTGAACTTGGAGCAGTTGGATGTAATCAGGACTATATGGAACTTCTCATCCTACTTTTTGGGTCCTGTGACAAGCCTGGCATCGTCAAATTTGATGCACTATTACAATAATGCATGGGGAAGTTAGGCCTCTCTGTGTCACACTTCTCTCCTGGATGACTAGATACACTGTGCACTTTGTATCAGTTTAGTACCTGCTGATACTCAGCAGCTGGTGAGGGCATTTTAATCCTGTGCTTTAAATTTGTGTCTCCTTACCTTTCCAAAAAGTAGAGTGCAACTCTGCCTAAAGTGCATGCACAAGGATCAACTGGAGGGTTTTCTCCTTTGGATTTCCTTTATTTTGAATCATCATACAGGGGGTTTCTTTGCCATGTGCAATTAAAATTAACTGTTAGTGCCTTAATGTTACCATGCACAAAAATTCAGTTTTTGCTTATCTTAACACAATACAATTTTTTATCTTTTACTAGGAACTGAGAAATGTGCTTCGGGAGCATAACTGGGTGTTTGATGAAGCACTAGAGGCCCTGGGAGTATTTGCAGAAGATGATGAGGGTAAAGACAGATTTCTAATCCATTTTATCCCAAGATAAAACAGACTTTAGGAAAGATTTGAATCTCACATCCAGCAATGACCGTCCTGGCAGCACTATGCCTAGAAACTTGCACTGATTCTTGAAATTAGTATTATGGACAGGGTAAAAACAGGAAACTCAATTTTTCTTTAAGTGTCATGATTACTTTATCTTTTGCTCTGCAGGTAGAGATAAATACACTTGCTTTCCTAATACAGATTTACACAAGTTGTGTTATCTATGGGTGTAGCATAAAATATATTTTTGAAGTGTGTCAAAGCTGACACCTGCCCCACTCCTGCTTGTTTAAAAATAAGTTCTGGGTTTTAACTGGAGTAATTTGTAAATCAGTAGTTGCAAATAAAAGGTGACAAGTGAAATATGCATTTTATCTTCTAAAAATATATTCTAGGAAAGAGAAATACTAGAAGTAAGCCTTAAATTACGCATCCAGTGCTTATAAATACCGGTGCATTAAATGTAGTAGGGAGCAAGAGTTGTGATTCCAAGTAAACCTGTGAGTTAAGTACTATGTAATGATTACTTTTCAGAGTGTTACACAGCTGTCAGATATGTATAGGTTTTACTGTATCAGCTATTTAAACATTCTTGGATAGTGTTCTTAAATTGGGTTCTTTACAAGTGGAGCTGTGGGTATGCATGAGGTTGAGACCTTGCTGCTGCTTCTGAGAAGGCAGACATTGGGTCTGGAGTCAATCAGCAGCAGGCTGGGGTTAAGCAGAAGATAAAGTGCTGCAGGTGCTTTCTGGCAACAAAGGAAGAAAAGCCCATATGAGTCAGTTCTGAAAATTACTTGCTCACACTCTGTTAAATAACCTCTGCCTTACTTTAAGACAGTGGAGGTATTTTAGTTGGAAATAAGTCATTCTTCTACTTACTTTAACAGGTTTTTGTTGTTCCACCTCTGATGCTGTACAAAGATGCATTAGAGTGGAAAAAAAAATTTTTGTGGTGAAAGTAGGTTTGTCTTCTGCAGTGAGCAGAATTAGCATCTCTGCAGTCTGAGTGGAGTGGGACCAGTATCTCATCCCAGCAATACATCAGTTTTTAACTATCTGCTTCTACCTCAGAGCTTCTGCAGCTCACACATGTGACAAAGTGCTGGTCATCTGTATTTTAAGGTAGTTACTTAAGACTTTTTGCTATTTGAGCAGTATACAAATTAGCATTGCTCATCTTATACTAACAGTTGGTACTGTTTAGATGTTTAGAACAGATTCGCACAGTATTTGCTCTTCTTTCCTCGGAGTAACACCTGTTGAGTTGCTGTGTATTAAATATTACAATTGTTTATATGGGGTTTATTTTGGAAGAACAGTGGGTTTTAATTTGCCTTTAACCAGTATGCATTGACTTGTTTCCTTCTATATTGGATGCACAGACATGGAGCTTCCTCCCGAAAGTGAAGCTTCTCACTGGACCAAAGCCTCTGTTGAGAGCAGAGTTGATGAGAGTAAAGAGAAGGCAGAGCAGAAACCTCCTGGGAAGGAGCAGAATGGCTTTCAGAAGGAGGACAAAGACAAAAGGAGCGTTTGGAGTACTAAAACAGAAGCAGAAGACTCGGAGGACGAGTCTGATTCCGAAGATGGTGGTAGCTCCCTTGATGAGGACTATGACGACTACATCAGTGGCGAGAGAGTGATGGACGATGGCTACAAAGCGAAAATCCTCAGCTTCCTGCAGGATGCTTCCCTGAGTGAACTGGCTTTGATTCCTCAGTGTTCTCAGAAAAAGGCTCAGAAGATAATAGCGCTCCGGCCCTTTAACAGCTGGGAGGCTCTGGTAGGTCTGCATTCTTCTTTTCCCATCCCCAGCCTGCCTAGAGTCAAGGTGACTTCAGCCTAGGGAGGCTTCGATGGGTGGCCTTATCCTGATTAGGCTAAAATGCTAAGTTCCTCCTAAGCCAATAGCATTTCAAATAGTGTCATATGACTCGATTTTTGAATGAATTAAGGGGTGATTTTTCTGGAAAACTCAAGCTGATTGGCTGACATGACTGTCAGTCACTCTGTAGCATAGAAAGTTGGTTGATTTCACTGCAGAAGAAGAAACTGGAGCTTTCGCTTGGGAAGGAGGTGTTTGCTAGCCCGTTCTGAGCTCTTAGAGCTGATAACCCATGCAGGAGGCAAGAACGTGGCAGCACCTTTACTGCAGACACTTGAATAGCAGCAGCAGCAGCGGCTTCCAGGGCAGCTCCATGATTGAAGGTGCCAGCATGGATATTTTCTGTTGCATACAAGAAACAGTTGGTCTCTTTTTCTTTTTTTTCCCTGGTCTTTTTTGTGTTAATCTACTGCAGTTTAGTCTCTAGCATGGCTTTGCTAGCTGAGTAATGCAGCCATTTTTTAGTGCAGCGAGCTGCTGTGTTTTTATTAATAAAAAGTAAAGCATCAGAAGACTAAACCACAATCCACAGCAGAAGGGAAAATGATATCTCTTGGTAAGTAGATTATCTCCTGTCACTGGGATGTTACTTTCAAATGTTTCCCATGGCTTGTTTGTTGCCTTCACATTTCATTCAGTTTCAGGTAGCTGCAACATATCGGACCTGGTAAGAGCAGTGCCTGGTAAGAAATTTGAAGTGCATTAGAGCAGTTTTTCTTGGTTTAATTTATTAGTGCTTTAGATTTTAAAGCAGTAACTGTGTGTAGGCCTTCTTAGACAGTAATTGGTATGGCTTTTTTTATCAGTGCGTGCTCTGAAACCTCCCCCACTGATGCATGGGAGATCTGCTTGTGTATTCTCAGAGCAGATTAGAGCTTCTTCAGTATGTGTAAAACAGTAACATTAATTATTCAGTGTGTGAAATGCTTTGCCAGAAAAAAATAAAAGATAGTAAACAGATTTTTAAGGAAAACAAAATGATCTTTGTATATTGTATTGCGGTGGGGGGGGACCAGACAGGAGGAGAATGCTTGAAAAAAACACAAGGTGCAGGTATGCTGCAAAAGAAATCCGTTTTGCCCCAAGCCTTTGGCTTCTAACAGAACATCTGTCACACAGCTATTCCTTTCTAAACTTGTTGGATTTTGCCTGAGCTTAGTTCTTTGCAGAAATATTTGCTACAGGGCTGTTCCCTTTTTCTCAGTGTAAAATATTTTACATGAAAAAAAAAGTTGCATGGGCCTGTTTGCATTCAAAATTTGTCTTTCATAAAGATTGATGCTGTCAACAGCCACACATTTATGTAGTACTGTGGATACTTGCCCAGAGTAGTAGTAGTTTGCAGCAGACTTTAGCAGATGTTTCATATCAGTGTGGATTTAATTGTTTATACAGATCCCCTAGCTCAGTGATGCAATATTTTTCCAACTAATTAACAAGTGCTAGAATAATGGAGAGAGCTGATTCAGTTTCACTGTTAAAGAAATTGGCTTAGTTTTATGGTCTTTTTACGGTAATGATATCTTTTGTAACACAGTGTAAAGCAATAGAAGTTTTTACCACTTGTTCATTATTAGTACTGTGAAGGATTTTAAGGTTCTCAGACTGAGATTAAGACTAAAACCTACTTAAATGGAAATTGAACATCTTATTCCAGGAGAAGGTAAATTAAAATTGCTTTTTTATTCTAGACATGCTTTTGGACTAAGTTTTTTCAGAAGGATTTAAATTCATTTCAAGCTTGTGTAGTTATTAAGAATGCTTGAAAATTACTTATTCTTTGGAGCAAATATTTAATACATATAACTTGATCTAGTAACACTTAAAATACACAGAAAAAAATTAACAAACATGGTTCTCAAAAATAAATGGAGAAAGGTGAAAACATCCATGTTCACAGGGATTGCTTCTTTCAGCAATTTAGAAATGCCTGTACTGTAGATCAGCAGCATTTTTTGGGAGGATAGTTTTATCCAGTGCTGGAGATGACCAGCTAGGAGTGCCTCATCTCAGACACTGGACTTGCATAAAGAGTGCTTGGGTATGTCCTTGAGGCTTTGTCTTCTCATCTGGAGAACTGATGCTTCTGTGTTGAGGGTCTGTGGCCGCCCTCCGGAATACGTGTGTATGGGGAGAGTAGTAGGTGATGGGTTGGGATGTGTGCTCCTCAGGTGTGAGCACCTTTCTGAGTACTTCTATTCACAGCTTAAAATTGCACATTGCTTTCTAAGGGCAGAGGTTTGGAAGGTTGATCCCAGGAGCCTGTAGTGCAGAAGCAAGCCCAAGCGTGGAGCTGAGACGGAACAGGAGGTGTGATGCCCAGAGGGGAGCTGCCAGAGCAGAAGTTGAGGAGAAGCAGCTCTCCCCTGCTGGGAACTGTGCACTATAACACAAAGGGAGCAGATGGGGGTGCTGGGGTGTGCAAACTAAAGGAAAGGTAGTCGACAGAAAGTAGGGCTGTGAGGGCTAGGTGAAAGGGAGGATCACTGAGAACCTGACTGTTTGGGGTTTTGGTGACTACCTGCTGGCACGTGGCGCCGGCCAGCAGGCATTGTTATTTCTTAACTTGGTGGAAGTACTTCTGGACAGCCATTGCCTTCAACCCTCACTCCTCTAAAAACCTTGTTGCACATGATTATGTTTTAACAGGGCGCTCTCTCCCAGACTTGGAGTCGGACAGTGTTGGGAGTGGCAGCTCCCAGAGCTGTTCCCTCAGCAGACAGGCTGTGGACACAGTCGTGTAATGCCAGTACCTGCATGCCAAGGAACAAGGGCAGAGCCAGCACTGGCTCCAGAAGGCACCTAGCTGAGCTTTTGGGGTCTGGAGAGGTTCTGTTCCTCAGCCTGTGGTGTGTGCCCAATGCAGTTTCATGCTGCCTTTGATAAATGCAGGGGTATGAACTGGAGGAAGTTTAATGCTGTCTAGCCTCTTATTTTTAAGGGTTGTAATTGTTAACTGCTTGAATTCCCTTTTAGCACAGAAACATGTATTTATGAGTTTTACTGTGTTCTCTCATTTGCAATATTATTCTGTCCCCAAACAATTAATCTCTTAGCATTAAAAGACTTTATGTGAATTAAACAATGTCCAGTGTCTTTAAAAAAATCTCAAATTCTTAATGAGTATAAACAAATTGAACTGCTACAAAATGTGACGTAGAAATTCTGACATAGGTTGTATTTAGCTTATCCCTTTTTAGGGGAATGGGAGAACTAAGCAGTCAAAGGTGGACAATTACTGGTCATGTCCTGTGTACTACCACAGTATATCAGCTAGGAGACAGAAACTCGGGGGAGTTTCTTGGCCTTGACTATTTTATCTCTCATTTTGTTCGGCTGCACATGTACAAACTGCTATGCAAACCAAACTATCAGGAAATCTAGAAGCACCTTCCACCAAGTCAAACAGAAGGGAAGCAGCAAATGCATCAGGTTAGAAATGGGAGCTGCTTAAAGTGGAGCTGGAATTTGTTGATTGAGGTTGAGGCTGACTTTTCACCCTTGAGCAGTACAGTGAAATCCCACATTACCTTCAAGTGGTGTAAAAGAAGGCCAGGCAGGACGTGCCACCATGGTGGTTATACACCATGGGGCACTGCTGCAGCCTGGTACCCCACTGGACCTCTCCTCAAAGCATGCTGTGGAAGCTCATGGGTTCAGTTGTCCATGATGGTCTCACATCTTTGGACCTCATTTGAACAAAAAAAAAGAGAACCTTGGTGGATGTCAGATCCTCTAGTAAACCAAAGGCCACCCAAGGATCTGCTTTTTCTGCATGACAGGGTAACAACATCATGTGTTTCACTGTAAACCAGTGGCTAAAGTGTTTCTTGTTGTAACTTGGAGATGAATGCTGATGTACTGACACAAAGCAGTACAGTTTCTGTTAATAGCAGATGGCTTCATTCTCCACACCTTTATTTATAGATTACAGGACTTACATTCATGCCAACCAAAGCTTTAGGCATCAAAACAAATATTGAGGTTTTTTTTAATTGCCTATTAAAAATCATGTTCTTTATGTCTCTTTTATTTCTAAAAAAGGTGTCTATTTAGAACACTTATTCACAAGCATTGACACGTGTGCCTTAGCCTGGTTTAACCTATGAGTATCGGTAACTTTCTGCGTGGTGTTTAAAATGAACAAAACAAAAAAAATCCAAAACAGTAACAGTGGGCTGACAGTAGAGGGCATCACTGGTTTTTTTTGAGTCAAAGCATAGCCTGTTTGTACAACTGAGCTGAACAAAACTCACTTTGACTCTGCAATGTGACAATATTGATCACTTATTTAACAGATAATAGATGGATCATAGAACCCCATCTTTTAAGGAAGGACTTCTAGGAGGATATATGCCTGTGAAGTCTCATGCTAAATTTTGCAGATACCTGATTTAAAAATCAGAAAAATCTGTGTGGATACTTTTGTTTTTACAAAAGGATGTCAAGTCCAAAGGATCTTATATTCTTCAATTCTTCCAATCAGTTAATAAAAATGGAAAATGAAGATATTTTCACGTTACAGTGAAATAACGTAATGGATAAATAGGAGTGAAAATGCTGTAATTACAAATATTAACCCCAGTTACTAGAGAAATTACTTTATTGGAAGGTTTTACACTTTCTGCAGATGGTCCTACATAGAATCCAGGAGAACCTTATGGGCCTGAAGGGCCCATAACTTGTTTTGGCACAAGTTCAGGCTTCTTGGCTCTAAAACAGAGAAAATTCATATTGTAGTGAGGATACAAAGTTTAGAGGAAGGAAATATAAAGTAAATAGTGTGGACTTGAGGAAGCAAGTAATGGAAGTAAGGCTTCTGTGTCAAAATCAGTAGTGCTTTATGGCTTAAAAGGAAAGAAATGAGGAAAATGTTTTAATTACAAATACGATGTCATATTGTAGGTCTGTGACTGGCACAAGGTTGTAAGTATGAGACTTGTGAGTAGCAATTATCTCAAAAAAAATATAGAGTTCTTGGAGAAAGCATGTGTTCATGATTAATGTAGGAGGGATTGTGGCAGGGAGCCATTATTTCTTTTTTTAAAAAAACAAAGATGCTAGATTTGATGCATCTTTAACAAGCGTGAGTGAAGTGGCTTCCTGCCCTTAGACTCAGAATACAAAGCAGCAGCAGAAGTTGGCCTTGGTCAAGGTGGGAACACATGAAGTTTGAGAAGATAAGGACATGGTAGCAAAGCAGTTAGAGCACTTTTCTCAGTCAAGGCAGAAGGGATAGGGGAGCTACAGTGATACTGAATGTGGCCTGTCCACATGGCTTGGCTGTGAGCTTTTGGTTCAAATAGTGGTGTGCTTCATCTTGGTAAAGCAGGTGCACTCAGGAGTGGTAATGGGCCTTGAGTTAGTTTATATTTACATTTTGGTTCTGATATCTTGACTAGTCCTTTCCCAGCTTGTTTGTTATGACATTTAGAAAATGTGTTTGTGTGTTTTATTTGTCCATCAGTAAAATGAGGATAATACTCACTTGAAACATGCACATAAAAAAAACCCAACCAACCAACCAAACAAAACAAACCCAAAACATGAGAGAAATAGAGTGGTGCCAAGACCTTGTCAAGATTGATGGTACTGCTTATGAAAATGTACTGGCCAGTGTTAATGACAGGTAGATTTGTGTAAGTTTGTGTTTCATAGATTTCACAGGAGGTCGAGTTCATTGCACAAAAAAAGAGTTTAGGTGAATCTTAGGTTGGTGAAGAAATTATCCTCCAACAGTGAAATGTAAAGAACTAAAAAGAGTGAACCAGTTCTTGCTGATCTTTTGGGCCTGTCAGTACTTGGTGACCAGAAAAAAAAAATGTACTTTTGCGAAAATTCTTATCCCTTAAATCTTTAATTTTTTTCCAAGTCTGCTTAAGTCTGATTTGAATGCACCATTCGTGGTACAGTTAGAACTGGGACTGAGTAATGCTGAGATCCAGAGAGGTTCATAACAAAATCATAACAGCCTTCTTCATAGGCTGGTTTGCCTTGATGCCTGTGTTATGCTTACATCTTCTATCTGTAATATCTGCAAGGTATTGCTTCAAAAGAGATTTAATAATAATCTGTATCTTTTGTCTTTCTTCTGTGCTTATGTTACTTTGCTGTATGTTGCTTCCCCTTGAGGATTTTAAGTGTTTAAAGCTCCTGTATTTTACATTAGAAACTCTTCAGAGAAATTCTCTTTTATTTTAAGATGTTTTACAGTGCAAGGAGCTGTAATGGCGACCTTCAGCATGGATTCACAGTTTTGCAGGGGGCCAAGTGTGTAAAGAATATTTTGAAGTTTTGAGAGGAGATGGGGATGTTGTTGCTGTCTTCTACTTGAACTACTTGCTGCCTGCAGCAGATGTGGATTTTCACTATGGCACCTTTACTGCAATTACTAGTGTTCATAGGGTTTTTTATTCTTATTTTGCAGTTTACAAAAATGACTGAGACTACTGGTTTGTCAGGAGACATAGTCTTGAACTGCAAGACACTGCTCAAGGAGAGGGACGTGATTCTAAAGCTCATGAATAAATGTGAAGACATTTCCAATAAACTGACAAAGCAAGTAACCAGGATTACTGAAAATGGAGGATGTGGAGGGGTCATAGGAGAACTCGCCATTCTGAATCAGAGGTATTTTTCCCTTTTTTAATACGTACAAGGATGTTGGATAATAAGCTATACTTGAAGACTTATTTTTCAAACCTGTAGCCTCCGAAAGTAGCAGGAACTGTTTGACGCTTACCAGCTCTCCGTGAGCTAGGTAGGGATGTGCAGCCCTTGAGGGAATCCAACAAATGTTTTTAAGTGTATCAGGAAATCTGGTGAGAAGAATAAGAGCATAAATCAAAAAGGTGTAAACAGTCCTCAGTGCCTTGTTTTAGTTGCTCCATGTTTTGATGAAGTGCATACAGGTGAAATGGGAATGGCTGCAGTTACACCATGGATTAGACTTGGAGGCTGTTAGTGGTGATAGCAAAAACATCTTAAACTGTGTCTAAAACTTGAGACAAAGAAGGATCAGTTTGAAGGAAGCTTATCAGTGACGTCGCCTTGGTAAAAAATACTGAACTAGGCAACTTGCTGTGTTCTGCCTTGTGGGTGTTGCGTGTGTGTTTGGTGCGAACACCACCAGGCATTGTACAGTGGAGCTAACTTAATGATGGAGCTCCTAAATGCCACTTAATTTTGGGTGCATTTTAAAAATTAGCAGCTGTGTAACTGCTTTTAACTGCTTGTGGTTTACTGATTTTAGAAGAAAGGTATTTATTGTAATTAATTTTGGTCATTTAAAAAGCATGAAAATTCAGATAAACTACTCAAAGTTCAGAAATGCTCTTTGGTATTCAGGTGACTGATTAAATATTCTTTTTCACTACACAAGGAAATCTGGAGTATGTTAAAATACAGGCAATGCTAAACTTCCTATTCTGTGATTTAACGTAAGCATAAAGTTGTTTCATGGAGAAACAAATAAAAGATGGTAACATGTTAAACTTGATTTCTTCGCAGGTTGGAACTCAAGCCTTATCAGAAGATTGGCTTGAACTGGTTAGCCCTGCTGCATAAACATGGATTGAATGGCATACTGGCTGATGAAATGGTAAGTGTGAAAGTGATCGTTTAAGAATTGTTAAAAGTTTTGCCCAAATGGCTTTAAGTTCTTTCATTTTCTAGAAATCCCAAGCAGATTTTAAGTAATTTGTTTTGGCTAATATAACTTAGGTTGCATGCAGTTCCTCCGAAAGTTTAGAAGCTGCTGAGCCCTTACTTTCCATTTGAAAGTCAAAGGTAGCCTAAGATTCAGGGCCACTGATAATGACAAGTCATGTGGTGTTTTCTGATGCAATCTGAACAGTTTCTACCACAACAAATTATTCTCAAACCATTCATTTTCATAGCTCCTTGCCCACAAATAGTTTGTTCTATTACTCCAGCATTTAGGTGAATGAGCCTCTATCTTCTACATTTCTTCATCAGTTTCAAAACAGGTAGTTAACAATACAGGAAAAAAAACCAAGTGGGTAGAAAACTTTTCTGCTTCTTCAGCTTTTTAACCATCTCTTGTCATGTTCCCCAAAATTTTTTAAAGAAGAGAGGAAAGCTTCTGGGTTTGAGGTTTTGTTTGATGTTGACACGAGCAGTAATTGTAAACAGAAAAAAACTTAAGTGATGGAGCTACTAAATGATAAATGTCTTGTCATTTGCTTTTAATCTGGCTGCTCTTTGTCTTGTGATGAGCCCTAAGAGAATGGATGGGTTCAATTCCTAAGAGTAGACAATGTTTCTCAACTTCTCTATGCTTTGTATTTGTAAGAACTACCTTATGTGCCTATTTTAGGGTAGATGAGGTGAATTTTTAAATCCATGGTACAGAAGACAGGATAGGGAGTATTGTCAGAAACACAGATATACTTCAAAGAAATCAGATTTCCATGTTAAATTCTACTTCAGAAATAACTGGAATATCCTTTGTACAAGTGGCTTAAATGGAAAGAAACAACTAGCCTCCAAGTAATCATTTGTCTGCAGCACTGTTTCAGGGAGGTAAACTTTTGAAGATTTGAGTGATGAACTTGGAACTAAAATGCAAAACTTCATGAATGGAAATGGTGACTCCCTAATGCTCAAACGTTGAGCTGAAGAGATAATTGAGTTTGAATGCAGTTTACTTAGGAAGGAATTGTATTCTCTAAAACAATGTGGTTAAACAGAACAATTTTTCTGTGCAGATTAGTAGTCTTTAGTTAATGTTGACTACAGTGTAATTGCTTATGAGTACAAAATACTGTTATGTTCTATAGATTGTAATTTTTGCTTAAATGGATTTGTTTTCTCTCAGGGTTTAGGAAAAACAATTCAAGCTATTGCATTTCTAGCTTATCTCTACCAAGAGGGCAATAGGGGTCCCCATTTGATAGTTGTGCCAGCTTCAACACTAGGTGAGTTACAAGCTTCAGAAGTATTTGTTTGTCTAAAGAAAAAAAAAATGAAAATTTTTTCATGATTTTCAAGACTGTGAAACAAAGATAATTTTGTGAAAGAAAACTTAGTTTTCTTATGGTGATACTGAGCTCCTTAAGTAATTTGAATTGGAATGCAAACCATACTGAAGGCATGCTTGTTCTGAGTTCATTAAACCCAGCATGGATGGGTTTTTTTAATATGCTTTGTACGCTTCACAAAAAATAAAGCTCCTCGTTACAGTTCAAATTTGTGTACTAAGTAGCCTTATTTAGTAAATATTGGCTGAAATTCCTGGTCTTTAGTCTGTGCTTAGGATGAAGTTTCATGGCATTTGAGACATTCAATGTCTTATTCCCTCTTTGCTAAACAGAACAGGTCAAAATCCTAAAATTATGAGGCTGGCTGTCTTTTAGTTGTGTTTTGATTGTTTAATGACCTCAGCCAAAAGCAGGAAGAATATGGTGGAATAAAACGTGAACGAAGGAGATGAGTTCAAGGAGTAACTAGGTCTCTGTGGAGTTAAATTTGGTTTTAAGTGTTTATAGAAAGGAGAAAGTAGCAAGTTTAATTTAGAAAGAAAATGCTGCTTTTAATAAAAATAATTCGGGCTTCCAAAAACTTCTCAGCAGAGTTCAGGAGGGCTTTCAGTGTGCTTTTTAAGTCCAATAGAACTAATTTTTTTAAATAACTCTTAAAAATGCATGTTACTTAAAACGCAAGGTATACATAAAGCTGTAAATGAAGGTGCTTTTGTGAAGTGAATTGTAGAGGCTGGTGAGTTGTTGCAGGTTGGCCCAGGCCATCCAGCACAGGGTTTCCTGGGGATTGCAGTCTACCTGCAGCTTTGTTGACACTTTTCTGGAGGCATCCTCTCATCCCTGACCTGGGTCTGGCCTGGGTCAAGTGGCATTTACCAGAGCCACCATTCTGCTGGTTTGTTTTTTTTTTTTATTTTGGCTCAGCGTTGTCTTGGCTGTCAAGAAGCTTCCCCTTGGGCATGGTGTAGTTTCTAGTGGCTGCTCTGCTGGCTTCACACCTGGAGCTGGATCAAGTTGTCAGGCTTCCTTGCCTACTCCCAGGGGCACTGTCTCTCCTGATGAAACACTCCTGGGTGCGAGTACTGACAAATGAAGTGATTTGCTTTCTGTGGAATTAACTGTCTAGGGGAGAAATTAGGCTGCAAAGTTAAGCATTGTGTTATTTTTACATGGTGGTTACAGACCATGCAGGTCTGTTTCTGTAGGAGTTTAAAGTGCAAGCTGGTTAAGCAAAAGTGATTCAAAGCCCAGTTGCAGGTTGATTTCCCAAAATATTAAGGAAATATTAGCATTTAGACAGAAAGCTTCAAGAGAATTTAAAGGGATTTTCTTAAAAATCAGATGTTTGGTTTAATGCTAATGTGTGTGTCTGAAGTTAGGTAAGACATAATAAAGTATAAGTAATTTGTGTTTTATTTTAACGATGTCTTACAGACAACTGGACAAGAGAAATTCGTCTCTGGTGTCCTGAACTGGACGTCCTCGTTTACTATGGTGAGGAATAAAACAGAAGAGATTAAGTAATACAGTTTCTTGTGTGTTCAGCCTAAGAAAAGGTTAATTGCTCATGCCAGCATTGTTTTAAGACAGTTGTTTAAATACACATTTGTTGCTGAATGTACTTCTGTGTACTGGCTTAATGTATCACTTATGAAAATTATTATATTGTAGTATATTTTTTATATATGTGTGTGTGTATATGTATATAATTGTACTCATTTTATGTTTTGCCCTTTTGTAGGATCCCAAGAAGACAGGAAACATCTCAGGGTGGACATTATGAATAAAGTTGTTGATTTCAATGTGATTGTAACTACGTAAGTACAGTAATTAAGTAACAAGTGAGA